TTGTGTCCACATGGGGGCAGCCATCTTATGTTTGGAGTGACAATTTGCATATTATTCTTTTATATTAAATAGGATTAGATAGGCTAGAGGCCTGGTGCACGGGTGGGGGCTGGCTGGTTTGCCCTGAAGGTGTCCCAGATCAAGGTGGGGGTTCCCGTGGGGTGTGGGGAGGCCTGGGCGAGGGGCCTGTGGTGGTTTGCAGGCTGCCACGCCCTCCCAGCAACCCAAGCGGAGGCCCTGATATCTGGGGTTTATTTATCTTCCACAATTGAAACTTTATAGCCTTGAACGGAGCCAAGCCTCCTGCTTGCTGGTGGCCACAGCCATTTTTGTTGTGATTTATTTATCTTTTATAATTGAAACTTTGTAGCATTGAGTGGAGGCCTGGGCCTGTCAGGGTGTGCGGAAAGCTTGGCTTCCTCCATTGTCAGGAAAACCCAAGCCTCCTGTTCACTCGGTGGCTGCAGCCATCTTGGTTGGGTTAATTTGCATACTCACTCCTGATTGGCTGGTGGATATGGCTTATGGGTGTAGCAGAGCGATGGCTAATTTGAATATTATTCTTATTAGAGAGGATATTATCAATTATGCTTATTTTTATTATTTCCTGTGATAAGGATTCCCATCTGGATAGGATGAGCCTTGCTCCTTCCTGAAAGATAGTGTTGGTGTCTGACCCTGCTTCTGGCACAACCAGGGTGTTGAAGAAAGGGAAGATCTGATTACCGAGCCCCCTCCCCCAATTTCCCCCGAAACTTGTCGTTATGGGACATTTAAAACTAACTGGGAGGAGAATGCTGCAGTGCCCTCCTGAGTACCATCACCCGGGGTCACACAGTAGCAAATTCTGGGCCCCGCGCTCCGTCTGTGCTGCACCTGTTTCTTTTGAGTGTCAGACACCGTGTTATCTGTAAGTAGTTTCTGGGAATCACTCCTTTCTAGAAAGGGAGCACAGTGTTTTATGGGAGTGGGCCAGAGCCCCTCGTACCTCCAGAAACCCAAGGGCAGGAACTGTGGGTGGGCGTCCCGCCTTCGCTGTGTAGGGAGCAGGTTGGCTGGCTGCAGCGGCATTGGGGACTGTCAGGACCTGGGCTGTTCGCAGAGGGGTGCTCCCTGGAACCCCTGCTGCAGTGGGGTGGGGGTTGTGTCCTGCACCAGGCACCAGCAGGTGGGTCGGCCCATCCGAGGTGCCGAGCTGGTGGCATACCCCTCTCTGTCTGCTGGGTGGGCCTGGGCAGGATGAGCTCAGAGAGTCTGTGGGTTACAGAGTCATGAGCATCCTTTCATATACATGATCTCTGTATATGAGAGCATGTATATGAAAGGATGCTCATGACCCTGGGATAGTCTTTATCATTTTATACACAAGGAAACAACCGTGGACGTTACTTGTAGTTTCTTTTGCACACACATGGAGTAAATGGTGGAGGCAGGATTTGAACTCGGAACTTCTACCTGCATTTCCTATTGGATGAGAGCAAATCCTTGCATCTCAATCCCTGCTCATTCCCTGTCCGTAAATGGAACTGCAGAGGAAACGGTATCTCTGATGTCCATTCTAGTCCTCTGGTTTGGCTCAGATTCTCAGCCGGAGATCTTGACTCCCTCCGGTTCTGCAGAGGGACTGGCGAGCCTCTTGGCACCAGCATCCTATAGTATCCGATGGGCTGGGGCTTGGGGGGCGCATCTGCTGGTCACTGCTCCTCTGTCCCCTCAACAGTCTGCATTCTCTAGGCCTCCTCCTGGCCCTGCTGACCCACGGCTGTAGATTTCTGCTTTTCCAAACTGTCCAGTCTGCTCAAAGCCAGGCTCTCCTTGTCAGCCTCCGGGCTCCCTTCCTAGGTGTGGTCCGCAGGCCCTCTCAGGGAGCGTGTTTACCCTCTGCCATGGGACAGTTGGCCTTCCCCCTCTGCGTGCGGACAAAATGGTCCAGGGCGCTCGCCCATCCAGCAGTTTGTTTGCTGATTCTAAGAGACTTGTGAAAAATGCATGAGGCCTTGGATACAATAGATAAAGCTGAAATGCTTGAAGAAAATCCACTTGTGGATTAGAAAGTGGGAGGCGGGGGGCCGAGGGATTGGAAAAGCCCTTTCTTTGCCCTCTCTGTCCTCGTCCCAGAAGAGATCAAGTTTAGGAATAATTCCTCTATGAATGTGGATGCTTTCATCCCGGGTCAAAAGCTGGTTGGCGCCTGCTTGTCACATATTTTCCCTTCTCTTCTAGCTTCTTCCCCTCATGAGTTTGGCTTGAATTCCTATCTTAATGCCTCTGAGTTCCCTCTTCAGAGGTCACTGCCCTGGGGAATAAAAGTGGAACCAGAACCGCCTGCTACTCTCCCTGGGAAGGGGTCAGGTTTGAGTGGGAGGCAGCGGGAGGGCCGAGTTCTGTGTGACTCAGTAGTTGGGGGAGGAACGGGCCAGCCCATCCACACGGGCCTCTCTGCTCTGGCTCCTTGTGGAAGGCAGGAGGGGGGTGTCCCTGCCCTCGCCTGTCCCTCACACCGGCTGTCTGTCCTGTTCTAGAACAGCCCTGTGTGGCCTCGAAGTCTGCCTTTGTGAACATGGGTGCTTGCTTTTCTCCAGCGTAGGCTGGAGTCAGGGGCGAGGAAACCGGCACGGCGCCAAGGGCTGTCGATGGGGTGGGGTTTGGTGAGTGGGTGGCCTTTCAACAGGAGGACACTAATGTGGCTTCATACGTACGTGTGGATGCTGGTGTCTCCTTGGCAGCGATGGGATCCTGGTTGGAGGATGGGAGGACGCGGTTGGATGAAGGAGTGCTGGGCAGTTGCCGATGGGGAGGCCACGTGGGGAGGTGCAGGCATTCAGGTGAGGCCAAGGCGTGGACCAGAGAGAGGACCGGGGTGTGGCCCCTTGGCCTAAAGAACAAACCTCATAGCTTCGCCCCACGTCCCCTGAGGGTGGCAATGCCTGTCTGGGCTGCTGGCTCATTCTGCCGAACCAGGGCAGTGAGCCAGCACTGAGCTCACTTGCCAACAGTCACCTCTCTCTGGAAGAGGAAGAGGGGGAAGAAGAGGAGGAGGAGGGGGAGGGGGAGGAGGAGGAGGGGGAGGGGGAGGAGGAGGAGGGGGAGGAGGAGGAGGGGGAGGAGGGGGAGGGGGAGGGGGAGGATCTGGCTCTGGAGGTGGCTTTGATTTCTGCTCTTAGACCTACAGAACGCGGGGAGAGGACCTTCTGAGGGTGAGAGTGTGTAGGCCCCATGGAGTTCCGGGTGTGGGGTGGGAAGCAGGCCCCCCCCCCTCCCCCCGTGTATGTGCACTGCGACCTGCTAGGGGCAGAGGCGTGGTTTTAAACACTCAGAGAAAAGGGCACACACGAGCCCCTCACCAGACCCTCCGGAATGAAACTCAGTGGGGAGCCGATTTCAGAGAAGCAGATATGATCTCTGGCTTTTGTGTGGAGAGCTCTTAAAAATGATTGCTAGGAACCAAAATAGGCTCGCCGAAAACAAGAGTGATTCTAAAGGGAGCTTTATTTCTGCTGATAAGGTGACTAGAACAGAAGCAGGGCGGCTCTTTCCCTGGCCTCTGCTGACCTCACAGGCCGAGCTAGTGGACGGGGAGGCAGGCGGGTGAACGAAGCTTACCTACTCGTTCCTTGGGGTGGCCATTACCGAGGGCCCTAAGATGGCAGAAACGTAAGCTCTCACCGTGAAGGCGGCTGGAAGGCTAACATCCAGGCGTCTGCAGGGTGGGTTCCTTCAGGGGCACTCGGAGAGCGAGCCTCTGCTCTGTGCCTCCCTTCCAGCTTCTGTGGGGCCAGGGGTCCTTGCCCGTCCCTGTAGCAGTGTGACTCCCGTGGCTGTGTGCACACGGCCTTCTTCCCGGGTCTCTGTGTCCAGATCTCCCTGGTCTTAAAGACACCGGCCGATGGATTAGGACCCATCCTAGTCCACTATGAACACATCTTAACCCGATTACTTATCTGAAGACACCGTTTCCAAATAAGGTCATGTCCAAAGGACCTGGGTTTAGGACTTGACCGGATCTGTTGGAGGTAGGGGTCGGGGCCCATTTCAGCCCACGGCAACAGCAGCTTCGGACGGGCCTGCCTCACCCCAGGCTTCCCATTCCACAGCGTTAGCCCTGGGGTGAGGGACAGTGCCATCGCTGCGCTGGCCTCACCCGCTGGCTCTCACCCGTGCACGTGGCCTGGGGCTCCAGCCGTCACAGAGGTGATGGCGGCAGGGCCAGAATCCCAGGTTCTTTTTCTAGAAACACTCTGCTCTGGCTTGTTGAGCTGATACAGAGAGTCGTTTCTGCTTCCACATGCGCGCTCATGTTCTTTCCCCAGGAAGATCGCAACTTCCTTCGAGGCCAGTTCTGCTGCTCTTGCATTTCCCATCGCGGCCCTGAGGCCCGTGGGGACGAGAGCAGCACCTGTGGGGGGAGGGGGGGTGAGCACGTGAGGGCCAGCCGGTCCCCGGGGCCAGTGCCTCATTGCCAGGCCTTCCCGCAGCCCCTCTAATGAGTCTTGGCATCCGCCGCCGGCCCTGCCTCAGCGTCCTTATCGGCCTGGGTGCTGGGCCAGTGCGTGCAGCCAGGGGCGCGGGTGTGCGGGGAGCAGCACTGGTGTCGGTGTCAGCACTGCTGGGTGTTTTCTCCGTTTGGGTTCCATCCTGAGTTTGGGCTCTCTCAGGCCTCTCCTTCTGATCGCTGGAAACAGCTCCCAGCGTCTCAGTGAGGAGAGCGCTCTTTTCCCAGGGTTCTCAGCAGGAGCTCTGAGCCTGCCTCTGATTGAACCAACTCGGGTCACATAACCTCCCATGAGCCAGTGGCCCCAGGGGCAGAATGCCCTGATTGGTCTCACCACAGCCCTAGGATCAGGGGCCAGTGGGTGGAGGCCCCAGAGGGGACTGAGGGCTGCTGGGAGAGTGAGAAGATGGGGGGCAGGGTTTGAGGTGGGGGGTGTGGGGTGAAGTCTTGCTTCTTGTTACCCACGGTTCAGCCTCCTCTCACCGGAAGGGGTGTGCTTTCCTTTCAGGAATACATCGACGCCCACCCCGAGACCATTGTCCTGGACCCCCTTCCTGCCATCAGGACGCTGCTCGACCGCTCCAAGTCCTACGAGCTCATCCGGAAGATCGAGGCCTACATGAAAGGTACGGCCTCGGCGGCTCTGCGGGGCCCACGCCGTGGCACTGCCTGACGGAGGGCTCTGCCGGACGAGGGCTCTGCCGGACGGAGGGCTCTGCCGGACGAGGGCTCTGCCGGACGGAGGGCACTGCCGGACGGAGGGCTCTGCCGGACGAGGGCTCTGCCGGACGAGGGCTCTGCCGGACGGAGGGCACTGCCGGACGGAGGGCGGCGGAGGGCAATGCCGGACGGAGGGCTCTGCCTGACGAGGGCTCTGCCGGACGGAGGGCTCTGCCGGACGGAGGGCTCTGCCGGACGGAGGGCTCTGCCGGACGGAGGGCACTGCCGGACGGAGGGCTCTGCCGGACGGAGGGCGGCGGAGGGCAATGCCGGACGGAGGGCTCTGCCGGACGGAGGGCACTGCCGGACGGAGGGCTCTGCCGGACGGAGGGCTCTGCCGGACGGAGGGCTCTGCCGGACGAGGGCTCTGCCGGACGGAGGGCGGACGGAGGGCACTGCCTGACGGAGGGCTCTGCCGGACGGAGGGCTCTGCCGGACGGAGGGCTCTGCGGGGGCCACGCCGTGGCACTGCCGGACGAGGGCTCTGCCGGACGGAGGGCTCTGCGGGGGCCACGCCGTGGCACTGCCGGACGAGGGCTCTGCCGGACGAGGGCTCTGCCGGACGGAGGGCTCTGCCGGACGAGGGCTCTGCCGGACGAGGGCTCTGCCGGACGGAGGGCACTGCCGGACGGAGGGCGGCGGAGGGCAATGCCGGACGGAGGGCTCTGCCTGACGAGGGCTCTGCCGGACGGAGGGCTCTGCCGGACGGAGGGCTCTGCCGGACGGAGGGCACTGCCGGACGGAGGGCGGCGGAGGGCAATGCCGGACGGAGGGCTCTGCCTGACGAGGGCTCTGCCGGACGGAGGGCTCTGCCGGGCGGAGGGCTCTGCCGGACGAGGGCTCTGCCGGACGGAGGGCTCTGCCGGACGGAGGGCACTGCCGGACGGAGGGCGGCGGAGGGCAATGCCGGACGGAGGGCTCTGCCTGACGAGGGCTCTGCCAGACGGAGGGCTCTGCCGGACGAGGGCTCTGCCGGACGGAGGGCTCTGCCGGACGGAGGGCTCTGCTTGCTGGACGGAGGGCTCTGCCGGACGGAGGGCTCTGCCGGACGGAGGGCGGACGGAGGGCTCTGCTTGCTGGACGGAGGGCTCTGCCGGACGGAGGGTCCGGGCTCTGAGCACTCGGCACGGAAGCAGGTGGATGCCAGGGGCCACACACTGGGAGGCCCGTCCTCCCTCTGCGCCCGGCAGAGCTGGGGAGTGAAAGCCCGGAGTGCTCCCTGGAGAGCGGCCGCCGCTTCCACACGGCCCGGCCGGCTGTGTTGTCTGGGAGCCAGAGTGGCCATGAGGTGTCCCTGTAACGGCGGTCAGAGGGCAGGCCTGTGCGTGTGTGTGTGTGTGCGTGCGTGTGTGTGCGTGTGTGTGCGCGTGTGCATGTGTGTGTGCATGTGCGTGTGTGTGTGTGTAAGAGCAGGTGTGTGTGTGTGTGTGTGCGCGCGTGTGTGTGTAAGAGCAGGCCTGTGTGTGTGTGTGTGTGCGTGAGTGTGTGTGTGTGTGTGTGTGTGTGAGTGTGTGTGTGTGTGTGAGTGTGTGTGTGTGTGTGTAAGAGCAGGTGTGTGTGTGTGTGTGAGTGTGTGTGAGTGTGTGTGAGTGTGTGTGAGTGTGTGTGTGTGTGAGTGTGTGTGTGTGTAAGAGCAGGTGTGTGTGTGAGTGTGTGTGAGTGTGTGTGTGTGTGTGTGAGAGTGTGTGTGAGTATGTGTGAATGTGTGTGTGTGTGTGTGTGTGTGAGAGTGTGTGTATGTGTATGAATGTGAATGTGTGTGTGTGTGTGTGTGAGTGTGTGTGTGTGTGTGTGTGAGAGTGTGTGTGAGTGTGTATGTGTGTGTGTGTGTGTGTGTGTGTGTGTGTGTGAGAGTGTGTGAGTGTGGAGAGTTCAGGGTGGCGGGCGAGTGCGGTTATGTAACCGGGGGAAGGAGAAAAACAGACATTAAAGGGCCTTTAATCGGACACGCGGAGTGTGTAATGTGGCGGCTGGCCCTCGCGGGCACGCCGTGTTCTCGCGGCGGGAGCCTCCCTCTTCACCGCGGGAGCTTCTGCTGCCAGCTGTGGCCGCCGGTCCCCGGGGGCCCCTGCCCACCTCCCGGGCCCGGCAGCTCGGAGGAGTCGGGCTGCCTTCCCAAGGCGTTTATGCTTTTTGGAAAGATTCTTGTTCACAGTCACCCCTGGTTCTCTCCTGCCAGGCTCCCTGCGAGCGCTCTCGTTTAATGGTAAGAGCTGTGCTTGGCCTGCCCGCGGGTCCTGGTTCGAGAGGCAGCCCCTGCTCTGCCCTGAGCACACGGCCTGGAACCCTGACCTGGTGACCTGCCTCAGGCCTTGTTTTGTGTGATGGTGGGACCAGTGGGCCGTTGGGCTCCCAGGACCATGATGGGCATAGCGAACAGCATGTGACCATGATGGGCATAGCGAACAGCATGTGACCATGATGGGCATAGCGAACAGCATGTGACCATGATGGGCATAGCGAGCGGCATGTATTGGGTGTGCCAGGTGCCCGCCACTGGGCAGAGCCTTCTCCTTACTCTCTCCGTGCGCTCATGAAGGAGGCCATGGGCTCCTTCCTGATTTTACAGATGGTGCGGAGGCTCGGAGAGGCCAGCAGACACACTGGCATCACAGCCCAAAGGTGGCATCATCACCAGGTCTCTCCCCAGGCTCCCTAGCTCCTGAGCCCTGAGCTTGACTGCCATGCCCATGGCCAGAGGCCCTGCATCTAGCAAGCCCCTAGCATGGGTGCAGCCGCAGACCCTGGCCAGGGGAGCCGGTGAGTTCTTGTATCTTTAAGGAACATGCCCTGTGCGAGAGCGGGGTGCCTGACCCGGACGTCCTGTGGGGGGTCTCGAGACCTGACTCCCCGGGCGCCTGGCATCCATCCGGTGGGGCAGATGGTGGAGCTGACTTCCAGGGGGCGGGGGAACGTGGGCACACCAGCACCCTTTCCTCCTTGGGCTCCAGTGGTCAGTGACGATGCCAACTCCCCTTTTCTCGTGTTCCTTTCCTGGGTCCACCCAGAGTCCCCGGTGGGAAGGAAGAGCTGGATGATGTTTTGGGTGAATGTTGGTTCTGGAAAGAAAGTAGTCTCTTCCCACGAGGTGTGTGTGCTGGACACGGACTGTGTGTGGAGGGACAGGAGATGGTGTGAAAAGGTGAGAAGTCCCGGTGAGTGAGGCAGGTTGGCAGCCGTGGCTCGTGTCCTCCACAAGCCCATCGACAAGGGTGCTGGTTCTGGTCCTGGGGGAGTTAGGGAGGCGCCTCGGAGGAGGGGGCATTCCCCGCTTTTGGAGGGGACAGACAGATTGTATCTGAGTCTGGACCTTTTAAAAGTATATATATTTTAATTTGGTTTTCAGAGAGGAAGGGAGAGGGGGAGAGAGATAGAAACATCAATGATGACAGAGAATCATTGATCGGCTGCCTCCTGCGCTCCCCACACTGGGGATTGATCCCACAACCTGGGCATGTGGCCTGACCAGGAATCAAACCGGGACCTCCTGGCTCTCAGGTCGATGCTCCACCGCTGAGCCACGCCAGGCCCGAATCTGCACTCGGCTGCTATGCGGTCCTGGCCAGGTCCCGCTGGTTTTCTGTGAGACATAGGTGGTAGCAGGTGGTTTTTCCAGGGGATGCCGGGTGGGGTAACTGGGATGATGTCTGACGGCGGGTAGCATGGGTGCCAGCCCATTGGGGTCACGGGAATGGCAGCTGCTGTTGCTGCTCCCTTATGATGGAAGGGGGAAGGCATCCGGACTGGATCTTGGAGACCTCGGGGCTGAGGGTCAGAGGGGAGCCTGGGCTGGGAGTATGAGCATGCACAGACGGGGGGCAGGGGTGAGTGGGGGTGGAGGGGTGGGGGCTGGACCGCAGGGTGCACCTGATGCAGGGCCGCCCTGGTCGGCGGGTGCAGAGGGAGTGACAGCCTGGGTCTCCCTGGCAGGGCAGGGGTAGGAGCGAAGTGGGGAGAGAGCGAAGGGTGGGGTGCCTGTGAGGGACTTGCAGACCATCAACTCAGAGTGGAGGCCTAAGTACCTCATGCGGGGGGAGGGGGGGAGACGGACATGGGATGGGACGGACGGACGGACTTCATTCGTGGCAGTCACTGAAGGCCTGTGAGCTGGCGAGTGAGAATTCATTCTTTTCTTTTAATTAAGAAAATTATTCTCACCTGAGGATATGTTTATTGGTTGGTTTGTTTGTTTTGGAGAGAGAGAGAGAGAGAGAGAGAGAGAGAGAGAGAGAGAGAGAGAGAGAGAGAGAGAGAGAGAGGGAGAAACATCAATGTGAGAGAGAAACGTTCATCAGTTTCCTCCTGTACACATCCCAACTGGGATGGAACCCACCACCTTTTGGTGTACTGGACAACGCTCCAACCAACTATGCGACACCAGCCAAAGCCAGAATACACTTCAGACAGATGGGTGCGGACATGGCCTGGAGGCAGGTCCTAATGGCCATTGCCTGTGTCCTGCTGTGGGGGGACACTCACCCAGCCACAGGCCCCGGGACCTGGTGACTGGCTTCCTGTGGGGAACCAGGCCCCTCTGCTGGGTCCAGGGAACCTCAGACCACGGTGTCCTTAGCTCAGGAGCTGCCTGCTGGGGGCACCCCGCCTCCAGGCCTAGCAAGAACTGGTGGAGAAACGTTAAACACGGCCTTGGTCTGAGGCCACAGGAACTGTGTGGGTGGGCGGGCACCCTGGGTTTTCCTTATCGGGCATGCCAAGCCCGGCTGGTATTATTCCAGGAGGGCAGTCCGAGGCTGAGACTTCCTACAGAGCCTTTTCCTGCCCCCCCCCACCTCCCACCACCCCCGCCATCCCAGCCTTGGGGCTGTTCACGGGGAAGGCACTGGCTCCCCCTCCCCCCAGAGGCAAGCTCCTCTGCACTGGAGAACCTTCTCTGAGAACCTTCTCT